CATATGGTTTACTGGAGGGGAAGTGGGTGGGAAGGGATAAATTGGGAGTTTGAGATTTGCAGATAGTGACTACCAATAAAATAGATAAACAAGTTTCTACTGTATAGCACAGGGAACTCTATTCAATATCTTATAGTAACCAATAATGAAAAAAGAATATGAAAAGGAATATATGCATGTATATGTATGACTGAAACTTTATGCTGTACACCAGAAATTGACACAACATTGTAAACTGACTATACTTCAGTAGAATGGAATAAATAAATAAATAAATAAATATTTTTTAAATGTCTGATAAAACTTAAGAAGTTCAGCTAATTTAAAAAAAAAAGTCACTGTTGGATCTACATGATGCCAAATACCTGGATTTTATTTTATAAAATAAATTAACAAATAAAAGGGTAGGAAATCCATGAATCGAGCTATTTTCTACTCCTCTGGAAAAAAACTGTTACTTGCTCTGACTCTGTTAAAGAGAGGCAGACTTAGGTTTGGCTGGAACACCCGTTTTTCTAAAATATTATGTATCTGACATAATTATAGATATTCTGAATGAGAAAAGGGAAGAGTGAAAACAGGAAGGGGAACTGACATGTGATTAACTCCCACTAGGTGTGATCCCCCTGAGAGCAAGGTTGTTCACAGTCAAATCCCTATGGCTAGAACAGAGCTGACCAGCACGTCTACTGAACACAATGATGAATGAGCAGCTACTCTGTGCCGTGTCCTCTGCCCACATCATCTCCTTTGACCCTTGCTAGCCAATTATTCCACTTCATAGATGAAGTGACATAAGCTCTGAGAGGTTAAGCAATTTCTCAAGGGCCACAGTTATTAGGTAGTAGAGCCAGAACTCCTGCTCAAGGACTCTTTTCATTATATCAGCAAGGTTTCTAAAAAGAACTGATGGCAAGCCTGCCTCAAAGACACACACATCTCCATTATCCTGAGAAGGTACCTCCATGTGGGATGATGGCCAGGCAGCTTCACAAGAACAAAGCATAAAATTCAGAGAATAAATCTCTTCAGTCAGGAAACTTAGTGGCGTCTTTTGGGTTTTCTTTGCTTGCTCTGCAGCTGGTAGATGAACTGGGAGGCTGGTGGGCAGCTCTGGAAGTCACCAGGAACTCACAGTCAGTGAAAACACTAGAGGAATCCTGGGTCAGGCAGAGGAAGGACTCTGTGGATCAAGGTGGCTGTGAGAACGTGGCCCCCTCGGGGACTCTGAGCAAATGTCTGCTCACGGGGGAAGGGATGTGGTGGAGGTCTCCTTGGTCTGAAACAGAGCTGTCTGAACTGTTTGCCAGGAAGTGTTCAATGGGATGTCATTTTTCAGGTGTTCCCTCCTGCATCAGGAGAGAGGGTGGAATGGGTAGAAAATATCCTGCTTATATCAGGTAGGATGATCTTCCCCCTCCCTCCCCTTAAACCTCTCCCCAACCCACCTTGCTAGTTACAGGCAGTCTTGAGTAGTTCTCAATTCAACTGTGAACAAGTGATGAATGGGTACCCTTAACTGTTAACTTGAATTGAAAAATGCATTCTAAATTACACAGGAATCTCAAGAGCATGGAAATCCCAGCCTTGGAGACTTTGGTAATGAGCTATATGGTTATTCCAAGAGGGTATCAAAACTATGGTTTCAAGAAGTAAATAAATAATCCTATCTCGCGTTTCCACCAGTCAGGTTTTATAGTTGTGTGGAGGTGGCGGTCATTATTGTCATCATCACCATTATCAGTTAATATTTTATGGTGTTTCCATTCGGTGAAGGTACTGTACCAGGTAGAGTCAAGGACTTTATCTTTCTAGAAGAGACAGTCACTGACTTTAAGGAGTGTTCCACCTCCTTTTCTGGATCAGAGGTTAAGATAAAAGGTTTAGATGTGGTGATAAGTTTGGAAAGTCCATGTAGCCCTGAAAGTTCCAGGAAGGGAGAAAGCTCCAGACTGTTAACTTCCAAAGTCCTTGCGCAGACAGCTAGTGGGACTCCAGCTGCTTAGCAGGGAGAATGGAAAGCTGCAGAGGTTGAAGAGGAGTAAGACCTGAGAAACGGCCAGTGGATTCAGTCATGCAGAATGTTGCTGATGAACTTTGTCTAGTGAGCCCAGGGCAGGAACAAATCAGAGGGGACCAGAAATTGAAGAGATGGGCTCGAAATCACAAAAGGAAACCAAGAAGTAGGGTGGTCACTGAGGGAAGGAGCAGGGCCGAGGGAAGATGTTCCCAAGAAAAAAATCCAGAAGTGGCAAACTTTGATAATGACTGAAGTTAGTGAGTAAGTAAAGGGAAGTTCATTATATAATTTGCAGATTGTTTTGAAGTGTAGTTGATTTACAATGTTATGTTAGTTGCAGTACAACATAGTATGGTTATACTCCATTAAAAGTTATTACAAAATATTAGTTATACTTGGTAGATTTTTTTTAACTTCCTTAATGAAAATTTAAGGAAATAATGGTAAGAACCTCACCTCTGGGAAGAGAGTGGAGAAACGAGTAAAGGGAGAACACTAAATGTATATGGAAGAATGACAATGATAGATGGTACAGTCTCAGAAGTGGTGCGTGGAAGGGGAAACAAGAGCTCAGGTGAGGGAATTAAGCTTCTGATGGGAAAGATAATAAAAACCCATGAAAATAACGATAAAATCTAGGTTGAAGAGGAAGTATGGTATAAAAAAATATTATGAAGTTGGAAGGAAGGTGAACAAAGGAACTTGGGCTTCCGTTTCCAGAAAGTGGGAGGAGAGATGGGAAGATGCGAAGGAGGCGGGCCAGCGGAGGGAGGGCTCCAGGAACGTGGGAAGGGTTGTAATAACAGTCGTGGAATGCAGTGGGGAATGAGTGAGAACCAGGGGGAAGACAGACTGCTGAGTGGTAGGGCCCTTTTAGTGGACGTCAGCACGAAGTTTTAATGGGCCCAGCCTGTGAGGACTCCTGCCTTCAAACATGCAGAAATCAGCAAGCCAGGCTGATGAGAGTTCTCTTGCAATCTCAGAACCTTCTGAAATCCTCAAGTTGGCAGTAACTATCTCAAGAACAAAGTTTGCTAGAGCAAGGAGCAATGGTCCAGAACACCCCAAAAAGGGCAGATCCAGTGGGAAGTCAGAGTGGGTGTCCATTTGGCCCAAAACAAATATAGTAATCAATGCGGACAAATTCACGGCATGGTCCTAGGGCCACAGGTACATCATATGACATGACCACCAGCATCACCAGGAAGCTTGTTAGAGATGCAAAATCTCAAGTCCCAACCCAGGGCTTCTAAGTCAGAACCTGCATTTTAACAAGATCACGGACGAGTCGTGCACACTGACGTTTGAGAATCCTGGTCTAAAACTTTGCTAAAACCTTTGATATACGAGTAGGTAATCAAAGTAATGCTAATCTCAGTTAAAAAAACAAAAACAAAAGCTGGGCCTCTTCAATGTGCCTCAGGCTGAACTGGGGACTTGGAAAACCACCAGAGACTTCCAGGATGTGTCATTCTCCACCCTCTAAGTTTAATCACCAAAGCTACGACTGGGAGGTTTTATCTCGTTGTTGTTTTGGGGTTTTTTGCAATTGTAGTTGTCTCCAAAGGAAAGCAGTTAATTTTAACTTTGACTTTCTGTGATTGGGAGCTGCTCATTCCATTTCAAGTGAGTGATGTTTATCATTCAACTCTGGCTTCTGGACTCCACCACCGGCCGTGGAAGGACAGCCCAAGTTAGCCACAGAGTACATATCACACCAGCTGCCTACATCAAAATCTGCCTTTTAAAACTTGGTTTTAATATTTTCACCACCCTAGAATTTAGTCTTACCCATAATTTTTGCTCAGAACGTTTGCAGCTGGGAATCAGTCTTCAAAGTCCATGTCTTTGGGCAGTGGGACGGCAAGAGCCCTCCCATGTCCCCCAGCACTGCTTTTTCTTTTTATTAAGACAAGCAGTGTGTGGACTTCGGTTCCAACACTCGCGTGGCCTTCTGCGAGCTCCTTACCCCTCTGAGCCCCAGTTTCCTCCCATATGGGAAAGAGTGAATTACTGTCCCCACCTCAGAGGGAGGTTGTCAAGATTCAATAATGTTGTTTAATAATAACAAGAGTTAATAATGAAAAATATTAAAGCCATGTCTCACATGTAACAAGTACACAATAAATGCTGACTATATAATTTTATTAAAAATTTTTTCTCCACAATGAACAAAGTTTCAAAGGTACATTACTTTTTTTGAGAAGCCTCAATCTTACTTTCAAAATTTCACTTGCTTTCTTTTTGTTTTTGCTATTGTTTTCTAACATGTTTGTGAATGTTTTGAAACCAAATATGACTCAGGGAATATGTGTGCAAAGGCACAGAGCAGAAGAATAATACATGTACTTTCACAAAGTCAGATTTATAAACAAACAAAAAATAAAGACAATGTTCAAATTTCTTGGCCTTTTACAACCATAAAATGGATTTCTAAACTTAGTCTGCTTAATTTAATTTTAAAAAGAAGATGAGAAGCCTCAATTAGTGACATTTCACTTTGCAGAAAGTGTGCGGGGGCTGAGTTTCCGTTGAAAGCTACCTCTTCACCTATAACCATAGCGACATGAAAGAATGCTACAACGGATCGATATTTGGGCAGATCTCTCAGGAGAGATTCGCTGGCCAGGGTTCATACCTCTCTGAGGGGTCAAGCTGTGCCCTTTTGTACTGGGACCTGTGTCAGAGAGGGCCACCCAGCACCCTCTTTGAGTCAGGAGGCAGTGTGTGTATTCAATTGCTCATTCCGATTGGAGATACTGACTTTTAGTTATTGGTGGTGCCTGCAAAATCCCCAAGTCCAAATCCAAATCAAGCGGTGTCCACCCATTTATTAGAGGGATTTATGCAGATTATTCAGCCTGTAGCTGAGAATCACTCTTGATGTGAAGCTAAATGCATGCAGGCAGCCCTCCCTGTGTTGATGGAAGCACAGCGTACTGGGGATTACAGTGTGGTGGTTCAGAGAACCATCACTGGAGCCAGACCCCCTGGGTTCATATCTTACCTCGACCACTGTGGCAAGTTAAAGATGACCACAAGTATTTTGGCATTTTTCTCCTGCAGAGGTGAAGTGTGTACCTCTCCCCTTGAATCTTAGATGACTCTGACAATTCTAACCATGAGAATACGATAAAAGTGATCCTGTCCCAGTTTCTGACTCAGGTCTTAAGAAACAGGCAGCTTCTACTTCTTGTCTGAGCCACCATCTAAAAATCTCACTACCTAACTACAGAGACTATGTGAAGACCCTTAAGACTACAGCAGGGGGAAGAAGGGGCCCTGCTGAGCCCAGTCTTATCACCCTTCCCATCAAGGCACCTGGGATGCGGGTATAGCCATCTTGGACCCTTCAGACCAATGCAGTTCAGCCCCCTCCCTGCTGAACAAGAGTGAATAACCCCAGGGACACTACCTGGAGCTGAAGGCTTACCTCACTGATCTCCACCCAAACTCCTGCCCCACCAACTCATGATAGATAATTAAATAGTTGCTGTTTTATTTATTATCTTTTTTCTTCTTTTTTTAATTGGAGTATAGTTGATTCACAATGTTGTGTTAGTTTCTGGTGCACAGCGTAGTGATCCAGTTTCATATATATATTCTTTTTCATTACAGGTTACTACAAGCCATTGAATATAGTTCCCTGTGCTGTACAGTAGCTGTTTATCTATTCTGTACATAGCGGTTTGTTTGTACCTACCAATCCCAAACAGCTGCTGTTCTAAATACAAAGTTTTATGCTACTTTGATAGACAACCAGAACCACATTACTAGTTGTTTTGGTTTCCTTGTCTCTAAAGCCGGGACAATAATTACAATGCCCACCTTACCGGATTGCTCTGGAATGAAATGAGGTAGTAGCGCTGAGCCCTCAGACGCGGGCCTGGCATACAGCAGGCACTCTGGAAAGGCTGGCTCCTGTCAGGTTTGAATGACAACTCTGTTAGGTTCTGAGAGAGAGAGGTCCGAGTGTGGGCTCCATGTCGTTTAGTTCTCCAGGCCATTCGGTCCTTTTGCGGTCCTGTCTCCAACAAGCTCCTTACGGAATACTTGGGTTGAAATGAACCAAGCGTGAAGGACCCAGTCATGAAGCCTTAGAGTTCACTGTTCCACCCTCAACTAGCTACTGCCTCCCCTCAGATGGGGTATTTCCCATTCTTCAGGTCAGTAGAGGCCAAGCTGGCCCCCGAACCAGCTCCATGCTCACCACTCTCAGCATCCAGCTCTTCAGCATCTCCCCAAACCTTGCTTCATTCCATCTTCAGCTCCACTCTTGCTACACTTCCTTTGCCCCAAGTGAGCACTCATCTTCTGACAGAACACAGATTCCATCACAAGCACTTGAGAAACGAGCAAGGTCCCAGTTTCCCAAAGGAAGTGCTAGGGAATCCTGGTCCTTCAAGATGGACTACAGCAGAAGAGTTCTGTGGACACGGAAGTTTGCGTGACTGACGCCGCACATGCTAACTTTCCTTTGACAAGTATAAGTGCGTTTGCAAATTAAGAGCCCTGAAGAGCTATGCCATTCAGAAGTCTACTTAACTCTGTCTCATTCTGAGTTGCATAAACATATCTTGACTGTGTAACACTTTTCTTGTAAAACAAGGCTTCTTGGAAGAAGCAACCACTGAGCTGAGTCCTGGAGGAGTGGAAGAGGGAGCAGGTGAAGGAGGCAGAGAAGGAACAGGGAAGACGGTCAACTTGATTTGGCAGAAAGATACATCAGAGGGCTGAGTTTAAGATCTGGGGGTTTGGGGAGCCTCCTAAGGGCTTTAAGAGAGAGTATATAAGATCAGATTTTCATTTCATAAAGATCACTAGCTCTCACTTTATAAAGAGCACTGACCCTCACCTTTATTTTTTGGTTCAAGACTTACAGTAAACAAAACATGTTGCATGGTAACCCAGTATCTGTATCGACTTTACAAACGTTTCGTAACATGGCTCTTAGTCCTGTTACTTGCAGTGCCCACTGATACTTCCTTCCTTTTGGAAATCACTTTTGAAAAGCTATGCCAATAATCTAGGCAAGCAAAGCTGGGGACCTGAACTATACAACACCTAACTCTAAGTGTGTCAAGGCCCCTTGTTTTCTCCCCAATTACTTTAAGAGAAGCAGGAGAACCTATTCCTAGTTCTTCTGCTAAGGAGCAGTTAACTTACTTAACCTCTGTGCGTGATTTACCTTGTCTCTTGTTACAGGTAAAAAGCTGTAATACTATTGAGGGCAGAAAGTCAGTCAGATTCGTACGATTTACTAGGACAGCGTTTGGCACACTGGTGGACATCTTTTGGGTGCTTCTAACACACTTATTGATTGCATTGCATTACCCTGAGTGGATGATTCTTCATCCATTGTGAGACATAGAGTTTAGCAGGCTGAGAAGCAGTAGTAAGCGTCACCTAAGTATTGTGCATGCCTTCCGCAGACGATCAGAGTCACTGCAGAACATCTCCCAGGCCTGTGTTCGTTGGTTCAGGAATGCAGAGCTTGCATCACAGGCAGGAACTTTCTGCTGCTTAATCTCCTGCAATCAAATCACCAGAGGGTGTGGTCCAGGAGGACCACCACCATGCTCACGTTCTTCTCCTCTCCCTTCCACAAGGATCCCTTTCTGTCCCTTCCGGACCTGCCATCTGCTCTCACTTCTGAGGTCTTCTTCCTACAGGACAGGATGTAAAGTGGGGCTCAGTCTTCACCACTTCCCCCTTGCTATCTCTGAAAAGGAGGGCTCTAGCCTTTTTGGCATAAGGGCTTCACTGCTAAACAAAGAGTGAACAGCAAACCATCAAGAGTGGGCATCACAAGAATGATTGTCAGGATCTCACAATGTTTTCTCTAGTGCCCAGAGCAGTCTGTGGGTGACCCCACCCTTCCTGAGGGTAAATTTCACCAAGCCTCCCTCCCCTCACCATCCCTGTTCCCCAGATTAGGTGTTCTGCTTCCTGCTTGCAGGTCTAAAGGTACGATGAATAGTAGAACAATAAATGAATTAATCACCCTCCAAGAGTTTGAAGTCTCAGGTAGTCAGGGCATTCCAGAAGGGTGACTGTCCATCAGTGGTTCCCCACCTCCGCACAGGAAATAAGTGACCCCTGGCTTCTCCCTCACAGTTACTCATGTACCAAATCTTAAAAACTGTGGCAGAAAACTGAAGTGTGCCCACAGTATTCTTTACTTTCACTTGCTCTCTTAGTGATGGGCAACTCCAGTTGTTAGCCTGTGACGTCCAGGATACCAGGACTGCCTACCAGTGGTATTCAAATGTTTGACGGTAACTTCTACGGCCAGAAAAGTCCCTGAAGAAAGAAAAAAGCTGCCTCACTCCAAGGTGGTATCTACAAAGACGAACCCCACACTTACGGCCCTAGAACCTTTGTCTTCCTCCCGGGATTATTCTCGAGACTCCCTGCGAAGCTGGCGGGTTCCAAGGAAAGCTCATCTGCACCTGCTTGGAGGGTTGGAAGACAACTGCAGCGGTGGTAACAGTCCTCGTCTGCTGCTGGCAGGGACAACGCTGGTTTTCCTTTTCTTCCTACTGCTTGTCTATGTATCTGACTTTCCTATCAAAAAAAAAAAAGTCCATATTATTTTGTAACATGAAAAAAATCACAATTGTTTGTCGTTCAGAAGGAAGGATGTCCCATTGTATCCATACGTTTCACACATAGCGTCAATTCTGTTACTTATATGAATGAGATAATTTTTTTTTAATTTCTAAAAGGGAAAATCTATTAGGAAGACAATAGCCTGGGTTTTGTCGGCCCAGAATCTTGACTGAAAATCTTAACTCCTCACTGTATTACGCTGGGATGACCTTGCAAAAGTGACTTAACCTCTCTAAGCCCTAGCGCCTTCACCTATAGTGAACATGATATCTTCTTTACAGTTTGTGCTCAGAACCTTATGTATACTCAACAAACGTTTGCTGTGTTTCTTCAAACCTGAGGTCTCAGGAAGGGTCTTTATAGAGCAACCAATACACATTTCATAGAATCTGTAGAAGGAAACTCAGCGTCCATCCAATCTGACTTAGCTGGGATCCCGTCCATTGCTTCCCTGGTCAAGGGTCCCTGAGCCTTGGCAGAACGCAGCCCACTGCTTCCCTGCGAATTGGTGGCCAACTCTATCGTAGGACGAGTCTCACCATGATAATAATGTTACTTGCTTTTTAATTAACTAAAATTTGACTCTGTATAAAATTCTGTCTACTGTTCTTATGCTAACCTCTAGGCTCTCAGCACAGAGCTAGCAGGCTCCCTTTCCATCCAAGTCCTTCAGCTGTTAAATAACACCAGTACTGAGCAGAGTCATTGTATAACATAGGGCTTGGTCTAGGCATGGTAAAGACCTTCTCACAGTGACACAAAGCAAGTAAGTAATTGAATCATGCCCCGGGAAGCTGGCAAAATTTCCAGTAGAAGTCCATCTTTCTGCCTCCTACACGCTCTACCTGCTCTTCTAACTTTGTCCGCTCTGTCTCCAGTCCATTCATCAGTATCTTTCCTCTCCTCCACCCAACGTCAACCTTTTTTTGCCCTTACCCTTTAAAAAGGTAGAGGTTTTTATTCCTGCATGGAAGATGTAGCTGAACAAGTTAATTGGGAAAACTGTTTTTGCTAATTCTATCATGCCAGGTAGGGAAGGGGACAGAACTTAATGGAGTAGCAAATATGGAAGTAAAGCAATAAGACAAAATAGTTATTCTGATTTTGTCCTTTAAAAATTCCTGTAGGCCTGAGCTCAGCAGTACCCAACTAGATCATCAAATCTTATTTTCCTGTTGAGGAAAACAGCATCTCTTTCAAATAACTCTTTTGCATTTCAGGCTTTTAGCAGGAAAGACAAAGACGCACTGTGGACCATTAAATACTTGGGAGACATGATTTTAGCTAGGCTGTAACTCAATTTTACAGTGATTTGGAAAGAGCCTGGGGGAAATATTTCTTGATTTGGGCAGGGGCATGGTCAGATTAAAGGTGCAGGAGTTCCAGATGCTTGTTTGTTCCAGAAATGTTCGATTGCAACAAGGCTGAGTGTCTTGTCTGTGCTAGTGGATTATTAACAGAGGTTATTGGTCTCCATGGCAAAATGATTGCAATGAACGTAATCTTATTTATGAGGGTGCAAAAAAAAAAAAGGACTTCAGGTCAGGGAGAATGTATAAATGTCCATTGCCATCAAGGTTCGGCTATCTTTGAGAAGCTGAAGCAACTCCAAGGACACAGTTCACAGGCTGACTTTGTTTCTCAGCTCCAAAATACGGATTGATTTGGGGACAATTACTACGACACTGTGGCTGATAAGTTTGAAGAGAGCCTGTGAAGAAGGCAGCGAGGGTCCTTGAATCGCAGACCTATATTCTCCTTCCCCAGCATGTGCACCGGGAGCTGTGCCAAGTGCCTGGGGGGCACCCTCATCCCCCTCGCCTTGTTTGGCTTACTGGCTAACATCCTGCTATTTTTCCCTGGAGGAAAAGTGATAGACAACAATGACCACCTTACCGACGAGGTCTGGTATTTCGGAGGAATATTGGGAAGCTGTGTCTTGGTGAGTAGGGAGGACTTTAAAATCCCCCCAAAGGAGATCTGCACCCCATCCTTTTAAAACTGGGTACTTACCGAACAGGAAGAGATTTGGTTGCTAATGAAAGCTCACGCTTTGCACGATGAAACATCAGCGCTTTCATTTTTCCCTTCTCAGTTGGGACCAGCCAAATGTCCACTAAATTGACGAATAATGAACCCCCAAGCTTAGGCTGGCAGTTCTCATCGGTAGGTTGAATTCCATGAACCAAACAGATGGCGGTGTAATTTCTTTATTTTAACAAGATAAAGCTAGGGTGCTGGGCGGGGGTGGGGGAGTGAACACACATTTTCTAGCAAATTGATTGACTGAAAACCACCAAAAGAAGCAGATGTCTGTGTGTTCCTCGTCCACTCGTGTAGTAATGATTTTATTTACCCCTGGTTTCCAATAGAGGTTGGAACCCTGTGGTTTAGAGACAGAGAGATTCATGTTTCATGACCACTGAGGACAAGTTTCTTGTCCCTAGCCTAACCCACCGTGTGAATGGGAACTCAGAGTGTCAGATCTTGACAGCTTGCCTCCTTGCACCTGCAGTTAGGCCAAATGGAACCCTAATACTGAAAACACTCGTCTACCCGCCAGCCATGCTCCGCTAGTTTCCACCATACCCTTATCCGTGGGCGGACGTGGCATCTCACCCAGCCAGGCAGGCGCCAGCCCTTCCCAGACCCGCGCTGAGCTGCTGCTTTTGCCCGTAGATGATCTTCCCCGCGCTGGTGTTCTTGGGCCTGAAGAACAACGACTGCTGCGGATGCTGCGGAAACGAGAGCTGCGGGAAGCGCTTCGCGGTGAGTTCCCTGGGCGCAGCAGCCGGAACTACTCCGGGGTGCACTGCCTCCTTGTGCTGGGCGTGGGGATGCGCACCAGTTACCAGCCCCAGGCAGGACTCTGGGGGCAGCTGGTACAGGAATAAAGGTGGGATTTTTGCTGGTGCAAAGTCACAATGATCGTAAATAGTGAAAACCACAATCATACTTAGAGGGTAAAGTACCATTTAAAATCTGGTGGTGCCATAGGAAAAAAAAAATGCAGGCTGGGAAGGCAGAGATGGTGCAGAACTCTCCCTTTGCCCTCGAGAAGCCCTGAGACCTTGCGCAAATCGTTTCCCTTCTCTGGCCGCCACATTGCCTCACTTCTAAAAGGCGGTTGGGACACGATAACAGATGGTAACCTCCTCTCCCTGATGGCCCCCTGCACTCTCCGTCCACTCCACTGCCAGGTTCACGATCAGAGGCTCAGCACTTCCCTACTTCACCCTGACTTTGCCGTGGGACTGTTTTCTTTCTGGTTTCCGGCAGCCATCCATCTTTTAGTGGGCAGGCTGGAGCGATTAGGCTTCAGGGCTCCAAGCAGGATGGGGAGGAAGGCTGGAAGTGGACCCCATTTCCACCACAGAGGGAGTCGCTGTACTGCTCTCTGCCTCCCTCTGCTCCTCTGTAAGATGAGGAAGCTGGACTAGATTAGAATTTCCCCAGTATGGACAAGTTCTGCTGGCACACAGCTGTGCTCTTTCAATCACATAGAAAGTTATTCTCTTTTTAATTCTCCTTTAATCCTCTTGATTCTATGGAGCAAAACTCTTATTTTGATGGAAATAAGTCTTTACTATTTCTAATCCCTTGTAATCTGCCTTTCTGACAAAGTGAGAACAAATCTCCAGCTCCAAGGATGCAAGAAACAGTAACTAGAAATTCAATAATATTATGTGTGTCTGTTAATGATTCTAGTTTTTCATTCATAGAGGTGATAAAAGTGAATAAAATAGAGCGTTGACTTTAAAAAGATATTGAATTCAGGTACATTGTTGTGGCAAAAATGAAGAAGGTCGAACTGGAATTACTGGCCCGATGATGAGGAAGGCCAGCTCCTGCTCTGATCTCTGAGGTTCAGTTGTCCATCCAAGAGACTCATGAACCCCAGTGATGAATTATGCACTCTCACCTTAACCTCTTAAAGGGAAAGGTGTAGCTATTTGTCCTGAAACCGAATCACTTCTAACATTTCTTTCTCATCCTTATTTGCTCATTTAGTCAACTAAAAAATATGTATTGAGTACATAGGAAGGGCTGAGGCTGGTGCATTGCAAGTACAGCGAGGCTTTTCCACGTGAGATCAAAGGCCATTCAAAGAGAATTTTTCCACCTGCTTACCACCATCAAGCATTGATTATTACAGCAACATTTAAAATTGTCATTTACAAAGAGATGTGAAAATTATCCACAGTTTATTTGATGTAATTACATAATGTGCGTTGTATATAATGCTATTTTAGTATAATTAATTATAAAGGACAGAAATAAATATAGAACTCACCATCCCTTTGAAATGTAATCCCATTATACCTTGTGGATTTGGAAAGAATAAGCTGGAGATGAGAATTTGAGAAAAATTAGCAAATAAGAAAATTGGATGAATTGCTTAGAAATCTAACAACTCACTCCCTGGTGCTGAGCAGAAGGCTGAAGATCAGCCGATATAAAACAAGGGTCTTTGCTTATTTTTTTTGTTTTTAGGATTACATATAACACAGTGAAATATAAAATAATATTCAGAGTATCGTGCAAAATGTGTTTTTTAATTAGATGTATGTGAAGTCCAAGAGGAAAGCAGAGAAGTCACATTTGTACAAGCACAGTTGAGTCAATAGGAGCTGAAACATTTGGTCTGCCCAACTCAGCTATCAGATCGGGCGCCCTCACCCCCTGGGAGGGATCTGCCCTTGGCAGGAGTTGAGAGTGACTCCTCCCAACGGCCGGCTGACTGTCCACAAGGGCAGTGCCCAGCAAAGGACCAGCTCTACAGGCTGGAACCCGAGGCACCAGCCACAGAGTGGCTGCACCAGAGTGACCACATTCTTGGTGGCGAGTGGAAAGATTTCTTGTTTGGGGTCCATTCGTTTGTTAATCAGCTGCCAACTTTTAAAAATAGAGAGATTTCACAGAAAGTATCTAGATCTCTTACTGCTTTTTCAAAAAAATCAGAAATTAACCTGCCACTTCTGGGCCTACATTTTGACACAACAGTGTCCGGCCCTGGTCGGGGCTGAGCTCTTCGCCCCATCCCTGAGGACCACGGGGTTCCCGCCCCTGCCTTAGAGCCGTGTTTCCCTAATGTTCTGAGGCTCTGGGCACCAAGCAATAATCATTTTTTAGAGAAAGGTATTTACAAACACTCTGTCAGACAAAAAGAAAAAAAGCTGCAAGTAATTTGATCGGTGTTATAATGCTGAAGATTGGAATTATTTTTCCAAAGACTCACCGCATTGCCCTCTGGGTATTTAAGGAACACTGGGCTTCCCAGGAATGTTGTGTAAGAATTCCTGCAGGTGAAAAGGCCTGTGAGGCAGAAACAGACTAGGCCAAGGGCTGCTGAGCTAAATCCTGCGCTGTCTTCACAGCTTTGTTGTGCATCGTTTGTTCCCTGGCCTCTCTCTCCCCTCTCTTCCCTGCTGTGTCTTTCTGGAATATTCTCCAGAAGTCAGCTGCATCATTCTCATCCCTTTCCTTGGGTAGTGAAACCAGGACATCCAAATCAGTCATGGAAGCAGGATGTGATGGCTGTAGAGATAAAGCAAGACAATGAGCTGGAAAAAAAAATCTTGAGGTCACTGAATTGATGGTTTCATATAGTGAAACTAAAAAATGGAGGTGAGCTCTCCTCTGAGGCAGAGCAAGACTGAAACCCAGCCCCAGGGGTCTGCATGCTTTTAAATAAATTAGGGTAAATGAGAACTGAGAAAATTGAGCCCTGGGCAAAAGTTGTGAGAGGAGGGTGACTTTCAAGGTGGGCTTTGAAGAGCCTGCCTGGGTTTGTTTCTAGGTCTCAAGTTTTTCCTGCCCTCTAATCCTTTAAAAAAAAAATTCTCAGGGTCCAATGGGACAGCTAATTAATTTTATCAACTCTTTCATGTTAAATATGTGCTTTAATGAGAGCCTTTGGAAGACTTTGACTCAAAGGAGTGTCTTTAATAATGGGACAGATAAAGGAGATATTTAGAGGCAGTCGGGCATTTCAGCATCCTTAAAGTCTGTCAGGCAGATAAAGGCCCACCCCACCCACAGGCAGGGCCAGCTGGTTGACAGACCTGTTCTGAAGGAAGATCTTGGTCGGGTCATAAATCGGTCTGTTCACTGTAGAGTCAGCGCTTCTCCCCGTGCCTGGCTCACCAGTGCCCCTTAGGGACGCCTCCTGTGTGAGCACATCCAAGGCCAAGAGCACTGACTCTGCCTCTGCCTCTGTGTTCCTTGGAGGACAGCCAGTTTGAAGGGGACTTAAGAAAGACAGTTCTTAGAGAGGAGGGAATAGCTAAGTGGTAGAGTGTGTGCTTAGCATGCACGACCTCCTGGATCCAATCCAGCACCTCCTAAAAGAATAGATTATCTTGAAAGAAGAAATAAAGAATGGAACCCCTATTTCTTCACTAAAGATTTTCTATGCTTCAAAATCCTCTGCTGTAAAATGGATCATGGCAGTTGCTACCTTTCACAAGGACATTGCAGGGACTTGGGGGAGATGCGGCAGCATCGGTGTGCAGGGAAGGGGAGAGCAGCGGTGAGTGTCTGGGGTAGTGAGGATACACAGGTCCTCGATAAACGCTTGTTGGATAATGAAGTAAAAGAACACTCAGGAAGGATTTCAGGTGATTTCCATACTTTATCAGGCTCAGTTCTGACAATAACCCTTTGAGGTAGGTGTTAAACTTCTCGTTTTTCAAATAGGGAAACTGAAGCCCTTGTAAGTTAAGTTTCTGACCACCCCCCCACACCAGTCCATCTTCCTGGCTTCCCAGGACTGAAGCAGAAAATACAGGAGGACATTAACATATAAGTGAAGAAACACTTCAGGTAATCGCTATGTATCTCTTAGAGTAGTTGCTGAGAGGAACCTTCTTGCCCACCAGAGATGTTTCTCCAACACGTTGTCACTACCAAGCCTCTAAATACCATGTTTAGGACCTGCCCACTTTTCCTTCCTTCTCAACCCCCGCGCCAGCCTGTTTTCTTTTTCCCCCAGAGCTAGGCTGTCTGTATTTGTGGAAAGTTAAAGTATGTGAAGCTATGACGTTTAAACATTATAATAGAACAATGACATTTATCAAGTGCTTGCTAATGTCATGGGAAATTACGCAAATCTTGGAAATAGGCAAAAGAGACTTCTGGGTATCCCAACAGTGAAGTGCGAGGCATTATCTAATAGCCTACCCCACCTAGGGATTACCTGGCTTTCTGGAGACATGTGCCTCTGATTCCCTATTTACTATTGATTAGACTGTCTACATAGTATGATCGCTGGGAGACAGGTGGTTATTACTGAGCCTTAGTTTATAGAAAAAGAAAGGAGATCTTAGAAAGATGGACTTCCCAAGGTCATGGGGGAGGAACCAGGACTCAAGCAAAGATCTGCCTGCCTGTACCCCACCCCCCTTGACCACTGCACAGTAGTGTCCTTCTTTACTGTTTATTCATTTAGAACAGGGAAAACATGTCCACATACAGAAACTGCACAGGAAGCCACACATTCCTGACCCCAAAGTCTGGCAACACCCTTCCCCAGAGGTTCCCAGTGTTCCCAATTATTGTGTCTCCTTCTGGAAATATTCCAGATCTTTCGCCTATGTACTTTAAAAAAGAGCAGTTTAGAGTGTCTGCTCCTGAACATATTCAACTTGATTTCAATGACTTCTCTTTTATCATGAAAAATTTTATAGCATGAAGCCCTTGATAAATTGAAGGTATTCCGTCTGATTTTAAGACTGAAAATATCTCTGAGTAGTAAATTTAGCAATTCTTTAAGACTTCTGATCAGGACATTACTTAAAACAAAGGGGCATACAGTGTACGTTCACATGGTTCATCCATTCTGGAAGAGTTAATGAAAAGTTAGTTGGAGTGTTAATTTATTTTTTTTATTTTAAGGTGAGATATTGCAGATGTGAACACAAAAACAGGACATGCCACCTGTAGCATTATAAGTGGTAACCTAGTGCCATGTTTTCTTCAGATAGTTTATAAAGAAATAAAACATTATTGCTTCAATTGAGAGTCACTGTGTTGCCTTTCTCTCTCATACGTCTCTCCTTCCTGAGAGTAACCGTAACCATGAATCAGTCCAGATCATATCCATCCATTTTTAAAAAACGTTTACTACCAAAAAATCAATCTTTCAAATGTTCTGGACTATCTTGTCCAATACAATAGCCACCATCTACTTGTGGCTATTAAGTATACGGATTGCGGCTAGTCTAAATTGAGATGTATCTTAAGTATAAAATTCATAGCAGATTTCAAAGAATTAGTACAAAAGAAGAATGTAAAATATCTCATTAGTAATTTTTATATTGATTACATGTTGAAGTGATAATATGTTGGCTATGTTGAGTTAAAAAAATAAATTAGTAAAATTAATCTCACTTTTTAAAAAACTTTTTAAGTGGTGGTTACTAGAAAATTTTAAATTATATCTATGGCTCGAAGTATATTTCCATTGGACACTGCTGGTCTAGAGGGCCTTACACTGAGGACTCTGATAAAAGGGAAAAACATCTCATTGATTTTATCTTAACCTGGTTTTTTTTTCCAGTTTTCAGTTTTATTAGGTAAATTGATACAATTTGACTGCACATATACAATATACTGCATGTGAATACATATAAATACACTGCACATATTTTTAAAATTTATGTGTATGTACTGTTTACTGTTTCTAAGAACAGTTTAGAGCTTTAGCTTTTTAAAGTTACATAGTTATCAAAGGAAAAAAAGCCAACTCCAAAATAAAAATCAAAAGAATGCAGTAATCCAGTCATAAAGGACAGTCAAATGTGCTCACACATACTCAAGAAATCTGTTATCTAAGTTATAAGAAATAAATAGTTCATTGGTGACCTTCTTTTAGATTCCACACGTAAGTGATTTAACCTGGTTTTTCATTGACTCAGACTTACCTAAAATGCATTTGTACTCACTTTTTGTGTCTTTAAGCATTTGCCTTTAAATGTTCCAGGAATGAAACCTAGTATCTTTACTCGTCTCACACAGCAGAAAGAGCACAGCTGAGGTTTCTCCTCTCACTACAGCCAGTGGACGATGACGTCCGGAGTTGTAGCTGAAGGGACCTTCTGAAATGCCCACCCTTTTCTTCTGTTTACCACAGGAAGCGGAGGCCAGAGGGGTGGGGGCTTGGGTGACTCCAAGGAGGCTGGACCTCAGGTCTCCTCTGACTTCCAAACTACCTTCCTGGAAACGCAGTCTTTCTCTCTTCTGTCACAGCAATTTTAGACCTTCTTCCATTTTAACAATCAGTAGTTTCATGATTCCTGAGTAATAATTAGAACTTAAGGGTAGAAGGTCAAGTAAGTAAAAAGATATTTTTTCCTTATATGTTGTTTTATTTCTGTAAGAGAACCAATGTCATTCACAGAGAAAATTGTAAATAATAGAGTATATGGCGCTAGTGGCAGCATGGCACATATGTGTGTGTGTGTGTGTGTGTGTGTGTGTGTTTGAAGGGGTGAAGGGTACAGGACACTGGACTAGGAGGGAGACCCCTGTTCTCTTTTTTTCTGAAATATAATTGCTGTACAATATAAGTTACCTATGTACAATATAAGGATCCACAACTTTTAAAGGTTATACTCCATTTATAGTTATTACAGAGTATTGGCTACCTTCCCCATATTGTACAGTATATCCTTGTAGCTTATTTTATTCCTAATAGTTTGTACCTCTTATCCCCCTACCTCTACATTGTCCCTCCCCTCCCAGACCCCAGTTCCTTTTTTTTTTTCTTTTCTTCTTTTCCATTCTCTCTTTTTTTTTTGTACAAACCCTTGTGTCAAAGGCTGACTTTCAATAGATCACAGCAAGGGAGCTACTCTGCTACATAAGAAACCCCGACCCAGAAGCAGGTCATCTACGAATGGTTTAGGGTTTAGCACCAGATTCCCACCAACTTGCGGTGCAGCCCCTTTTCCCACCCACGCTGGGTCTGAGACCCCAGTTCTTAATTTAGCTCAGCCATCTTCTAGATGTGTGACTAGAGAAAGTCACAGGAACATAGGCTTTGGAACTAAGTAGCCATGGATCGATCCCAGTTCTACCATTTTAGTCTTTCTTTGACTTACAACAATTATCTGAATTTCTAGTAGTCTTAGTATTCTATCTGGAAAATGTAGTTAATCACACCTATCTCATAGGTTTGCTGGAAGGATTAAATAAGATAAAGCCTCTAAGGCTCTCACAGAATGAAGCTATTTTTATTAGGTAGAAAGTGAGGTGATTGCACTAGAAGGTTTTTGAGGTCTTTTTTTTTTATGAAAATACAATTATAAGAACATTTAATTATTTATTTAGTGGCAGTTCTGGCTTTTGACGACTTTCAGCCAATTTTCAGATGAGAGACCCCCTCCTTCACAGAATCTGTTTTTCACTGAGACAACCCAACCTAGCCCAAGGATCACATGGCAAAAATGTTTCCAGACCTATCAGAGCCTCACTCTGAAAGAGCAAGAGGCAAAACATGAGGCAAAACTGACCAAGTGTTAGGTTCCAATTGCTGTACTGGAGTGTTCTGGCCACTCCTAGATTTATACCAGCTGTGTCTAACGAAACAGCAATTTGATTGGAGCATGGAGGTGGCTCAGAGACAGAGAACTAGCCTAGATAAGCTCTCATTAAATTGGGGCAGTGTCCCAAAGTGTGTTCTTACAATAATTAATGGGAAAAAATTTATAGGCACCAATGAGATTGGAAAACTCTGCATATTACCAAATATAAGGCAAAACGTAATATAAAACCACCTATAATTTTTCTCATAAAGAAGTTCCAAAAAGTTCTTTGACTAACATTAATAATGTATAAACTTTCAGTGTCACACACATATTTTAAATCACATGTACAAAATATAAACTAATTCTAATGTATTGATTTTGAAATATTACTCCTCTCCACTCATTTATTTTAAAATGTCTTCATGCTTCTTTGGCGTCGATGTCTTTGCTCCCACTAAAGGCACCTTTGGAGCCATCAGAAGTTTCCCATAGCACATTTTCTCTCCGTTTAACTACACTTTGGTATCCATGTATGATGCCGTCAGTGGCAAGTTTACTCTTTGTCATAAATATCAATTCACGGAGGACAAAGACAGCATTCCAACATTTCTCTTGCAGGTGTGTATTAATGATCCCTGCAATTGTAAACACTAAGCGTTCTTACATTAGAATACCTCTTAAAAGGCTTGTTAACTGTAATATTCAGAACTAGAAATAGTGAGGACAACTTTCCTAGAATAATTGACAAATCTGTGTTAAGAAAGAAATTTTTAGACAATTCTGTCATCCAACAGTAAACAAAGGGGTTGTTTCTGACTAATGTCTTTACCACACAACACTTGGTTGTTCAAATTGCAGGAAATGCCCTATTGCCTGAGAGGTGGAATCAGGACACAATTCTAAGGCAGTTCCCTCATGTCTGAAGCATAATTTGTGGGCTAATAATTTTCCTTACATTCCAGCATGCATAGTATATCCACTTCTTGGTGCTTCACACATGCTGGCCTATCACAAAGACTCTTAGAAGTGCAACAGGGATGAAACCTGCTTAACTGTATATAATTCAGCAGTTTCCAAAGTTATTAACAAAACATCCTTTGGAAAAGAGAGTGCCTGTTCTAATATGATAAGCTGACCAAGAGTTTCATTTACTTCTGACCTAGATTATATTCACAAATGTTCTTGATGGTGAGAATACATTTAGGATAACTTCAACATAAAAATTAAAGACAAAAATCTAAATAAGGTGTAATATGAAACCCTAGTCATTGAAAACACCCTATAAGTAGTTATCCAGTGCCTTTGATAAGCTAGGAAAAAAAAAAGTTTGGTTGGTGGTAGGGGTGGAGCAATGTCCTAACCATCTTCAGATAGCCCACTGCTCATGGCTTCAAAGGTTTGTCCTCCGGGTGAGGAAGACAGACAGAAACAGCGAGGCATTAGCATGTTGCAGGTACTGTGCTGTGATACAGTCCCAGAGTCCCAGGGCTGGGAGGTACGGGGGAGGGGATGGTGGGTTCTCCATGGGAAGTCAGACACGGCCTAGGGAGCCAGAGATGAGCCTTGGAAAGTTGTATCAAAAATACACTTACATATGATATGAAGATGAATCCCAGCTAAGTGGGAACTCCATTATCACACAGACTCCAGTTGTCTGGGTGCAATGAAGTCCTCTCCGCCATCAAACCCGCTCCACAAGTATGTACTGTGATTAGATTGATAGTATACAGGGACGGGGAAATGGGAAGTACCTGACATTTAACTTAGGTTATCACATCTAATTCTCCCAACAGATCTTGTAGGTAGCCTTTATCGTGACCATAATATAGATGAAAAAACCAAGACCCCCGAAGATACATCCACTATACAGAGTCACCACACCAAGAAAAGCACCAAGGCTGAGATTTGAGTCTGGGTCTGCTGAGTTTTAAACTCTTGTGCTTCGCACTATACCTTTGTGTCACCAAAGCAATAGAGGTGGTCATTTTCCACCTCTATTTCTAAAATTGTCAATGTTTCTACACTACCTTCTAATTCCTGTTTAGAATAGACATTGCATCTCTAGACCTCATTTTTTTCATCTCTAACAAAGAGTTAGCCTGGGCCCCAGGACAGTTTCTGCCTTTTATATTCCATATTCTATCTTGATTTTATAATTAAAAAAAATAAAGATGCCAGTACAATCTATTTTTCACGAATTAATCTCTGTCGTATAAAAATATTTAAAAGAACCAGAATTGTTGGGCTGATATAACCCAAAGAAGAGAAGACTTTCTTAGGGTGGAAGGGGTGGAAAGATGTAAAATGGAAACTATTTTTGTGTAAGAAAGATGTGAAATATCTTCAGATATTTTAAAGGTTGCTACATCATGGAAGAGAGGTCAGACTTAATTTTTTTGAACTTAAGGAATGTAACTAGGACTGATGGGAAGACATTCCGGAGTTTTACTCTTTCTCATAAGAGAACCTTCCTGCCACAGGAGGCCCCACAGTGACTTAGCCTCAGTCAGATGACTGGACCAGAAACCTTAAGATCACTTCCTGTTCTAAGAGTTTGATTCTGTAATAGACTGGCCTTCCATATGAGCCCTGTGAAGGAGAGTCTATTGTTAATAAGATTAAAAACCATGGCCCAAATGTATCAAATCATAATTAGCATTTGAGTCATCAATGAATAGCTGAAAAAGATATGGGGATGGGGGTGAAAAGAGGGACATGAGACTCCAAAATTCATTCTAGGAGACTCCACGGGCCCCATTTCCAGTAAAGGTGGGCTCCTACCCCATAACTTCCCTGCAGTCGCCATGCTCAACAACAGGCTGGTTAGGTGTGCTGAGTGTCACCTCTGGACCCCTTAAGAACCTGGCCATCTCTCTCCTTCTCTTCCAGATGTTCACCTCCACAATCTTTGCTGTGGTCGGATTCTTGGGTGCTGGATACTCATTTGTCGTCTCAGCTGTCTCAATCAACAAGGGTCCTAAATGTCTCCTGGCCAACAACACCTGGGGCTACCCCTTCCTGGAAGGGTAAGGTACACCCTGCTGTGCCCACGTATCACCACAGGGGGCACTGGCAGGTAAAGGACCCGAGGGGGACACTGCGCATGTCCCGCCATCTTCAGTTTACACGTCTCAGGCATGAAGCTCCTTTGAGGCAGAGCTGAAGTTGTGGGGTGAGGTTGCACAGGCTCTCACTTCTAAGTGCTCTTTTGACAGGCACCAGGAGAAATAATGAAAACATTTATTCACAGCAACACGACGCAACTAATAATACTAGTAAACAGAGAGCAGTGGCTCCCACTGCAAATCTTATCACAGAAAACAAGAGTGATTACTCCTCAACAGAGCTCAAAGGCTTTCACTAACACCCCTAAGGACGGATAACTAAACAATCTTTTAAGGTGCAACTTTACGGAAAATGACCTTGAAAATATTGTAGGTTCTTCATGAGAAATAATGTTAATAGAACTCACTAAAATAACACTTCATATTTTCATGGAACATTGTAGTTATAAAGAACTTTTAAAAAATTATAATTTAATCTCCACAGCAATGTCAAGAGGCTGTGACTCCCC